ACCAAAGCTTATCAACCTAATTTATTTCCTTAATCTGCGTCATCCACTCTCCACCTTTTGTTATGCAGGGCAAGGAGGTCTACCTCGTAGAACTCTTCCAGGTACGACTCGAAGAAGTTAGGTACTCAAATTATGAGGTCGTCGCGGTTATTGAATTGGTTTGCTGAAATTACCCTTTGACGACGCGGAGCTCGGCATACGTGGTGAAGCTGTTTTACGCAGAGCTCAGCTGTAACTGTATAGCCCACAATCAGCATTCCGTGGTACACCGTTGCTATACTATAATATTAGGTTGGTAACTTTGAAATGTCGTTTTTGATCAAAGATTATTTAAGTATAAAAGCTATACCAAAGCTTATCAACCTAATTTATTTCCTTTATGTGTATCATCCACTCTCCACCTTTTGTATGCAAGGCATGGAGGTCTACCTCGTAGAACTCTTCCAGGTACGACTCGAAGAAGTTAGGTACTCAAATTTTGACGTCGTCGCGGTTATCAAATTGGTTTGCTGCTAAGGAGTGTTGCGCTGACCTGGTCAGTGATAGTTGGACGGTGCCAGGTCTGAGCTATATGGCGCGAGAGGCAGAGCGTCCCAGCCCAACTCCTCGATTTCTTGTTGCAAAATTTTCGCGACATGTGATCTTGCATTATCGTGCCAAAATTTTCAATGACCGAATTTGCCCTTTGACTACGTAGAGCCCGATCCTCGCCTGCGGGATGTTGTGCGCAGAGTTTAGCTGTAACTATATGACGCACAATCAGCTCTCCATAGTAAGCCATTCTTATACTGCTTCACCACACTGTAGCAAGACTTTTTCTCTGTGGCTGCCCATCTGTTGCCAACCACGGCCATCTTCTCACTTTGTTATCGGGGAACATCCTTCTGTAAAACACGCCTTCAACGAAGTCAGGAACCTTCTTCTTCTTGGAGTTATGCAGCAGAGTTCAAGTATTGGCAACCAATACTGCTTGCTCGTGTCGCTCAGAATAGGCCGAACCCATTTTCTATCCTGGCACGTAGCGACTTTCAACTTTTTTTGTTGACACAACTGAATCTCCATGCAAGTTTTGTGGGGTATATCGAGGACTCAATTCGTTGACCTTCTCTATTTCTTCTTCATCTGGAGCTAGAGGTCAGAACCCGGCCACGACCAT